TCTCTCTCTCTCTCTCTCTCTCTATATATATATATATATATATATATATATATATATTTTCTATGTCTTTGATTTCAGTAATAGTCTAATTCATTTAATCTACTTATTGTGTATAATTATTTACTAATGTGTAAAACTATGTACGTATATATGTGTAAAATATACTAACGTATGAAATGTACATTATAGGTGGGGTACGAAGCCGGTAGCGAGGGTACAAAATTGCCGCCAATCTACATGAACAGTTTAGACAATGAATTAATTCAAGTTTTACACAAGGCCGCGCAGAACAGTCAAGATGAACACACAGTGCTTGAATTGATATTCTATGTGCTCGATAATTAAAAAGAATAACGTGCATCTCATATTTCTGAATTGGTCACTGTTCCACGGGACGACATCAGATAACTTTTATTTAACAGAGAAAACGTGCAATTGCAGATAATCACGTTTATATGAACTATACATTATCTATTTTCTATGCGCTTTTTCTCATAACTGAAGATATTATTTCTAGTTTCTATCTCTCAAAATGCTAGTTTTTATTACGAACTCAATATTTTTAGCTTTTTTCAAAAATTTAATTATATAATTTGCGTGGGAAGTATCTTTTCCAAATATAGATCAAGAGATACTTGAAGAAAGCATAATAGTGATATTTCAAGACTTTTATGACAAATGGACATCTACTCGACATTGTAACTAATTGGACTGTTAAAACTGCTACACAAAACGTTATTTATTGCCAAAGACGTACGCAGGATATGCTATATTCTTTATTAATGTAAATAAACTTGTTCTTTCTTGATTGTTTTGTAAAGTCTATACAGGGACGATCATGTTTTATCATAGTATGATCTGAAGTGGCACTTTCATAGGGATTCTTTACAGATACTAACAATAACGGCAATTGTTAGGAGTCTACGATAACTGCTAGCTAGATCGCAGTGGAATCGCTGTACGAATATAACGCAAATACGCGCATCTTGTATGCTTATTCTGTAATTTTTAACGAAAACATCGTTATCGTTGCGCAATTATTATGTTATATGTTATATCTGTACGACGACAGATAACGTATGCGTCACAGTTGTAAAGCACGTTAAAAATTTACAGAATAAGTCTCTCTGTTCGCTTAAGCTAGCATCACACGATACACAATTTCGTATTTTCTGACATGCATACTGATCAGCACGCTGTAGGCAGCTTGGTTCACTGAATCGTTATCTGCACTGGGATTACCTGAACCTGAACTGAGCTGCGCTACAGCGTACATGTCGGAAGGTATGGAATCGTACATCGTGTGACGCTATCTTTAGCAATTCTATTAACTGATACATGTATTTGTCTACTAACAATATTTTATATATACATATATAGCAAATGTTCGGATATAAGGACAGCTTATAAGACAGTACTATAATGTAATTATTATTGTATTTATTGTTGTAATAAAACTGTTAGATAAAATTAATACAATGACGAGACAATCTTGTTACTTAATTCTTAACTGGACGATGAGGTATCCGCGTACGTAACAATGTCAATAAAATTATTTTACTACACTGTGCGTTTTTCATATAAATTATATATATATATATATATATATATATATATATATATATATATATATATATCTTTCTTCATTCCTCTCCTATGTACATGCGTGCTCAGTATAATGTAGTTTAGTATGTAGTATAGAAGAATATAGACTGAAAACTGAATGATGATTATCCTGTTTGTATATCGTTGTCTAGGTAACCAGAGGTATATAACGCTAGTTTAGGCATACCTGGCCATTTAACGTTACGTACTTATAGATTATAGTGCGTTACAGTGTGACACAAGTATTACGCATATTTGGAATACTCGTTATTTTCGGAAAAGTGGAATACTTGAAATTATTACGTCATGAGTGAAAACGTGAAATTTATTGTGACGGAAATAAATAAACTATTAGGACGTAATTACAATCTAATTGGATTTAACGCCTTGAGTGCCGAAGATTTATTACAAGTATGTAATCGTTGTTTTATTTTTGCTGTATTTCTGTCAATAATTTATCTCAACTTATCCTCTTATAGATATTATGCAGTGTTCTGATGAAGATACAGCAACAAGATGATTTAGATGTCAATATTAGAATAGATTCCCCAGAAGAAAGTTCCATATATATTTTAACAGTTTTACGAATACTTAATTACCAGCCTGATGTAGATCCTGTAACGTTTAGGTATGCTTTAAATATTTTAATAGAGACTGATATTTCACTTGCATATTTAAATTTTTCAAAATTAAATGAACAAATATAAAAATAAATTTAATCAAAATATGAAAGAGGCCAGTGAAAACTTATTTGAATATAAATTTGTTTAGACAAGGTCTAGTTCGAAGTGATGTTGAGATTATTCATCCTATACTGATGTGGCTCTTGACACATATCAACATCGTTCAAAAGAGAGCATACTTGTCACGTTTTCTCGTCAAGGTAATATCAAGAAATTACATCCCAAGCATGACATGTTCTTGTATTATATACAGTGTATTATATATAGTCACTGTATATAATTATAGAAAAAATAACTAATAGTATAAATTCTTATGATCATTATAGGTAGAAATTCCACCAGAATACTTAGGAGACTCTGAAATATCCCTTTTGCAAGAACAATATTTGTCCCTGGTTGACAGATTTAAAACAGTTCACAAGGAGAGAGAGATAGGAAAGAAGGTAAAGAATATTTATGAAAGTTCTCTTATCTTTCATTATGGGTAACCATTCGTGTTATTTTATGCAGAATGTCGAAACCGCCGCCGAGCTCGCAACGGATCTACAAGCAATGGGAAAAGAAAAGGAAGTACGTCACTGATAATTAATTTTAGCTATTATTGGAATGTAGAAACATTTTATCGTCAATGAAAAAATTAGTTTATTCAACTACAACTTGTAATAATGCAATTGCACTTATGGATATATAAATTGATATATCTTTTATCGCAAACATAGGCGGTGACAGCGCGTATCGCTAGAATCAAATCAAAAGCTGAGTCTGCTTTGCATCTGCTGGATTCTTGCAGAATGTTGCGGACAGAAAGAGACAAGGAACGTGATTTAATGTCGCAGAAGGAGCAAGAGGAAGATACTATGTCTGATTTACAAGTACATCTCTTATGCAAAATAATAACTCACAAGTAATTTGCCAAGTTTTTAACGTGATAAAATTTTACCTTAAATATACTTTGTTGCATTCAGAATTCTCTTCAACGAGTAGAACGCGAGTTACAAATTTTGAAGCGCGACGGCATTGGACTCACGCCGCAGATATTAATTCAACATTTGGCGGAAGAAGTAACGGTGCAAACCGCAATCATAAAGGAAAAGCTCCCGTTTGAGTTAAACGCGAAGAAAAATCGAATGAGAGCTTTGTCGATAGTTAAGGGATATTCTTACCTGGGCCCGGACAAAATTATAAGTATGAGAAATGATTTGGACACCATACTAAAAGATATACAAGATTTGGTAGAATCCAAAGTACGTATACATCAGGAACAATAATATACTGGAACATGAGTGAATAATTCACATGTGAGATATTTCTTTTTAAAAATCAAAACTCTTTTGTAAACATGAACCTTTCAGATATCTAAAAACGATATCGACAAAATGGAACCATTCAGACAACAAGCGGCCGCTGTCGGGAATATGAAACGAAATGCTCTTGAACGTTTAGAGAAGGTCGAAAGTTCTCTGGAAGAACTACAATCGCGATTAAAAGAGAAGCAAGATCATTCAAGAACTCTGTTAGAAACGTTAGCACCTAAAGCGGAGGAATTGAAGAAATATGTTAATCGTTTAAAAACCAAGAGTACATTGTATAAGCGCTGCAAAACGGAGATTGCCGGCCTAAAAGCGGAAAGTGGTGTGCTTCATCGAACAGTGGCTATTCTGGAAGGACAGGTATTATTGAAATCTTTAGTATTGAGGTTGACAACTCGTATATTCTTTTAATAAGAATTAAAATAAACGCAATCATTTCAGATTGCTCAGTCTTATCAAACAGACATTGTATCCAAGGTAATAATTCCGGAAAACTATATGGACAATGCGTTAACGACAAATACTCAATTATCTCATTCAATATTAGCACTCCGTACCAATCTTTCCCCTATTATAAGAGGTAATAACAAAGTCGTTTGCATAAATTCGAATAAGTTTATTCATGACCAATTTATATACGAATTATTAATACTATCGAATATATACACACACACACATATATATTCCATTTAAAAAAATGAAGATGACCTTGATATCTCTTAAGTGCATCCATCTGGACAAAAGTCGCCATATTTCTGCGAAATATATATATATATATATATATATATATATATATATATATATATATATTTCGCAAAATATGTTAATAGAATTTATTAAATAATTTTGAAGATATCAAGATACTACGGCAGACAGCGCGTGAAACCGACGAAAGATATCAGAAGGCATCCAAAAGTCATAATACAGTAGAAACGAGTATGAAAAATACAACGAGTGATTTATTAACCGAAACAAAACGACTGAAGGATAAGTTATTAAAGGTAATTTACGCGTTAAAAAATAGTCTACGATAAATGTAACATTGAGTATTGTGTTGCAGGATACCGAAGATAAAAAACATCTTGATGAAAGAGTCGTAAAAATGAAAATTACTGAAGAAAAACTACGTAATGAAGAAGAGGTAGATATTTCTCAGATAGCAATATGAATTGTTATCCTTATTAAAATTTACGATGACTTCTGGTTTAGGCTAACAACGGTGGTTTCAACAATGTGGGACAAACATTAAAGCAGGAATTGCGTAAAGCAATCGCGTTAGAAGAAGAAACATTAAATAATTTGACTAAGGAGCGAGAGAAAATAAAAGAACATACTATACAATATGAACGTCAAACGCAACAGTGGAATAATATTATATCGTAAGTAAAAAGTTTTGCAGGTACAAAACTAATAACAAAGATAATAACTTGGAGTAAAGAAAAAAACATTATTGAATGTTAAGAAAAAAAAATTATAGAAAATCTTTTGATATATATATATATATATATATATATATATATATATATATATATATATAGTTT